GTGTGGAGAGTGATGATGTAAAAGGAAGGAGTATAAGCTCAGGGCAGGAGTGATAAACCACGTAATAGCAACGTTGTGCTCGGTGCACAGTCCATCACGCAGCTGAAGAATCTGTTTATTTCCTAATTGACAAGGTACCTGGGAATAATTATTTTATTAGATGCATGGAGGGGTAAACAGTCATACCCCAGCTTAATGCATATTCCAGAGTTAAAATATCTGCTTCGTTGGTTGCTGCGTGAATGTGAATTAAAATAAAGCCTTTGTTCTCTCAAGCATTGCTGGGATGATTTCTCTGCTTCTTCTGTCTCTTCTGTTTTCACTTCATGCGTGGTGATGACATTGTCAGGATCTCTTCTCTGCTAACGTTTTGTCCTAGTTCCTTCCCAGCCTCTTTCTGCCCCCCTCTGAAATGCACACACTACCTTGGCAAGCCTGTAAGTAATCCATCTGATTTACTTGACAAAGTATGGGTGCAGTTTTCTCTCTTAGTAGCAATCTGAATGCACCTGGCAGGGAGGCTTTTGAATGACCAAGTTCCTGTGTGTTTTTTTTCTTGCTAAGGAGTTTTCCTGCTGTGGCAAATGCCTGGCTATGAATTCCTTTCCAGCTGACTAGTACTTTCCATAGTATATTACTCCTGTCTTATTTTGCAGAAGTTTCCCCTGCTATCCCACAAAACTGCTACAGTCTCTGGTATGCAGGCAAGATAGGTTAATTTTTAAGTTAGCTGTTCTTCAGGATCAGGCAAATGCCTTACATCTATTTATTTATTTTTTTAACAGGGAGTCACTGTGAAAATTGGGCTTGTTTGGAGGAAGCTCTGCCTACAATATGTGAAGGCTTTACTTTATAAGGAATTTAGGAAATGGTCTGACATGTTATCATTGCTTCTGTATTTAGTGCTGGAACTCCAGGGAGTTTTTGAACTGATTTGTGATGGCTATAAAGTGTCTCTTAAGGGTGAATTGCAAGTAGTATGAACTCTGTGCTTGTTTAGCACTAGAACAAATTACAAATAGCTTGCTAAAAACAAACAAACAAAACTTGATTGGCTTTCATTTGCTTTTTTTGTTTTTGAGGAGAAAATCGTTGTGCAACTCAGCTGAAGTAGAGGAGAATGTTAATGTGGGCAGGAGCAGATGGTGAGATTACCTCTGCTCCAGGTGCTGGGATTTGTCTCTAATGAAATGGTCCTTGCTTATTAAGGTAGGAAACTGAGTTAGACTTTCTGAGTCTCTCTCCTGGTGAAGTTGTGACATCCCCTACATCATTCTCATCATTTTTCTTACCAAAAAATCTTCGAATTCCTCATTAGAAAGACCTGCTTCCTGGTTCATTTTTGTACGTGTGCTGGAGTGGTCCGCAGGTAAATGTATTCTGTTTTTATGTAAGCCTCTGCAAGTGAGAATCTGCTCTAAAATTAATTTTCATCCCGTTCAGAGGCTTTGATATGAAGGAGATTGTCAGACGTCTGCTGCTGCTTGGCTCTTGTTTATGAAGTTTTGCTGCTGTACACTTGATAAGCGTTGTGCTGTTAAATAAGTTTGCATGGCAATAAACGGGTACATGGCTGAGCAAACGGACATTGCACTCTGAACACATGCACTCAAAACTGTGGCCGAGGAATTGTTGCTTTTAGGGAAACTCAGCCTGACGCGAGCCAGAGAAAGGCCTGTGGATTTCTGCTTTCCTGCAGCTGGTGGAAAACTTCCAGCAAATACTGCTTCGAGGTACCCTGTCTCACTGCAAGAGAGGGATTTGCCTTCAGTCAGGAAGCCGTAAGAAGTCATAAATCAGCTGTTGAGGTTTTTAGACCTCCTTGTAAAGAGATGTTGGAGCAGGCAGTGTTGATCAGTGACCACTAGGGCCAGGCAGGCGTGGTGATGTTACACAAAGTATGGATGCGTGTGTTTTGCTGCAAATTTGGGGAAAAGCAAGGCGTGGAGGGGATTGTTTTATTGCTTTCAAACTTCCATTGGAATCCCTCCAGGCGTTCCTAGGTTTTTGGTTTTGTTTTGGGAAGCGTTTGACCCGTTCCTTAAGGATTTCGAAAGAGCATCTTGCCTTTGAAGGTGAGAACCTCTTTTTGCTGAGAACCTCTTTTCTTACCGTGGCTTAAAATAGAGCGTGCCGTAGTTGAGATGAGAACAATCTTGACTCTAAGGATTACTTTCAGGTCTTTCGATGCCTCCCGGTTGTTGCAAGCTCCCACGACTTCTCACAGCGTGGCTCAGGGATCCCTTTCCCACCTCTGGGATTTGAACCGAAACCTTCAGGAGTGTCTGGGGAGTTCCTGCTGGTGGTGCAGGTGAAATTTGCCCTTCTCCTTTTAAGTGTTGGAGAAGTTTACGTTTTGCTTTCTGTCTGCCTTTGAATTTACATGGCTGCAAATTCAGAAGTTCAAAGTGAAGCTCATCTTTTTATGGGAAAATGTTAACCGAGACGCCGTGTCATTAGCATTTAAAGTAGGCTTGCCTTTATTTTAATGATCCTCAAGTCTAGGGAGCTTTTCTTCTGATCTTTTATCATGTGATGAATTCACTGTTTAAAACCGGTGTGCAGGATCAGGTCTTGCTAAAACTCTTGCAGTGTTATCAGATGCTTTTAATTTTGAAGCGTTTGAAAGCTGCAGTCTGCTTATCGAGTGGGACAGAGATTTACACACCGGTTTGGTTAAGAATTGTCCTGAGGACAAGGCTCAAATAAAGTGATCAAACTCGAGGGTGTACGTGGTGGCAGAGTCTGCCTTGAAAAAATAAAAGCCCTGTGCAGATTTCTAGATAACAAGCGATGGTCCTAATCTTCAGATCAGCACTCCAGGTTCCTCCCGGTGCAAGCAGTGCAATCAAACCGAGGGAAATGCAGCGCTGCCAAGTGAGCTTGTAAAAGAAACGAGCAGTTGTGGAGGGAGTGGGATTCCCTGGGTGTAGGGCGGCTGTGCTGCAGTCGCTGTGCGCCGAGGAATGCGTGTCCGTCTGCAGGCTCAAACACTGCCTCGTTGTGAGGGGGAGACGGCCTGGCGAGGAGGGAGATCAAAGCTGTCGAGTTCAGCAGAAAAATAAGGCTTCCTCCTTCGTCAGGAGCCAAAGCTACTGTTCCTGGGTTTATATATAGCTGCTTTGAAGGCCGTACGGTCTCGGTGTTTTTTCTCCTTCGGAAAAACGACTCGCTGGTGCTGCTGCAGTTATCAGGCAGCACCAGAGCGCGCTGATAATGTGCTGCCGAGTTGTTGCCCAAATAGCTCCCAGTAGGCCTGGAGGCTGCAGAAACTGCCCTTCGTGCTCCCGCTTCTTGCAAAAGCCAGGTAGGAACAGCTGGGGAAACTTCATGAATTGATCAGCACATCATTGTGCTGATTTTGAGCTACGTTGTACACGTTGGTCTTAACCATTTGTTCTGTTTGAGCCTTTCAGTGCTCAGCACCAAAATATTCCTCATTTCTAGGGGACATCACAGTGCTTGACCTGGGAGCGTGTTGTAGGCATTACAAATCCGAATGTCTCTCTTGTTTTCGTCACCTTTTTGGTACAGTTTATCTCTAGAGGGTGGTTAGAAATGGTTTTTGAGGGGTTTGGCCTGAATCAGGCTTCACTGAAATGTATGTAAGACCTTTTGTGAGGAGGTCTGTCCTTCACAGCACAAGCCACTGCAGTCAAGTAGATGAAACAAAAGCTTGGCCAGAGTCCTCAAGAATTTAAAGAATCTGTTAGAAATCTGCGAAGAGTCTCGCTGTCTGTGCGGCGGGTCGGCAGAAGTGCAGCGTTGTGGTTGAAGCATGTATCTCTGGCCTGATTCAAGGAGAAAAAACTTCTGATGGGTATGAACAGCAAGGGAGCACAATGGCAGCTTTTATCTGTCTTTTCTGCAAATAATTTATTTGTCTTTTACTTTGTCTGATTTGCTTGTTGCCCGCCTTAAAGCCATGATGATTTACATTGAGAGGGCACATCTAGTTCAGCGAAACTGTGTTTTACTGAGGATTGCTGTTTGTGTAAGCCTCCTGGCAGAAACTCATTATTCATGATTTCTGTCTCGCTACTTGATATGCGTACGAGCTGCTGCTGGAAGACAGCTTATCTCGTGGAGTCAAGGCTAAGCCGGCTGCGTGTGACAGCTGTAGAATACAGCAAAAATAAGAAGGGAAACGAACAAACTTCTTGTGATGATCTGCTGTAAGGTTGTTTTAATACAGAGGCATAGATATTGTGGTGGATATGGGGAGTAGTATCACGGTACCAAGCACCAGGGTGGAACTGGAGGAATGTTAGATGGCGTTTTCTTGGAGCTGGCCTTGAGCAAAAGCACCCTTCCAGAATTTCTTCCCTTACATAAGTGAATGACTCTTCCTTCAAGGGGCCATTAAAGCAATTACTTAATGAGCAGCTGCACTTAAATTATTTATCTTGCTTGTCCAAGGAATAGCACTTCATAAGTGCTGTTTGCAGGTTGAGGGGGTAAAGTACAACTCAGTTTTCCAGACGAAGTAAGGTCATCGAGCATCGTAACCATGAGCATTGTATTCGTGGTACAGGGACCAGTTTGCCAATTCTGTTGTTGTGATACACTGAAATAAACTGGAAGTCCTCCAGATTGTGCTTTGTCACTACTAGCATCTCTGTGGTTTTCAGAACAATTCCTATTTTTCCGGGATTGAAGCTGGCTAAGGGAACAGAATTGCTTCAAATCTGAAGTCCGCTAGGTACCTGAATACGCCTTTTCCTTGTCTGAGGTTTAGTGGTGCAGAAAGAAACTAAGTAATTCTCTACCTACTGGGAAGAGCTAGTAAGAAAAACAGATGCGTCCTTCAAAATGCTAAGGCCGTGAGCTTAATTGTGTGGCTTCTCTTAACTTGGATCAAAAAATCTGTTCTCTTTCAAGATTTTCTGCTCTAGGTTTCTGAATTACATGTGCAACCTTGTAATTTGGTGGTGTATGGCTTAGTAGTTCTCTGCATATGATTTCTTGCATGGTTTTCTAATGTTTCATTTCCTTTGCAGAGCTGCTGAATCTATTCCGAAGCCAAGGGTAGCCAAGCAGTACAAGGGAAGTGTTGCTTCTTTCAATGGACATCTGCTCTCGCGGCATGGCCCAGATATCCAGCAGCAATGGATTTAAACAGCGCTCGTCACCTTCTTTGGCAACTGCAAGGTCAAAAGATGTGGACAAAGAGGAGGCGTTGCAGATGGAAGCTGAGGCATTAGCTAAGATGCAGAAGGAAAGAGGTATAGCTGGTAACAAACAAGCTTTTCATTCGGTAAGCAGCACCAGGCAAACAGCACAGACACACAGCAAACAGGACCACGATCTCATGGTGTTCCCAGAGTCTGATGCCAAGAGAATGGAAGATAAACTCAGTACCATTGACATCGAGAAGCTCACTCATGCAGAGCTAGAGAAACTGCTGCTGGATGACAGTTTTGAAGCTAGTAAAGCCCCCACGTTACCAGTAACTCCTATTTTGAGCCCATCACTGTCTTCACAATTTTATCTTGGGCCTGCTGGTCAGCGAGGACAGTGGACGCCTGGGATACCAGCACCTGTGACATGCACTTTACCTCCTATTTACCCCTCAGCTTCTTACACAAAACAGACTGGTGTGTTTCAGAACGGATTCCATCCAAGTATGTCCTCCTATCACTCTAGAGAACCTCTTTATCTTGGTCTTCCAAGGCAGTCACAATACATTTCATATCCATTGGCAGCTACTACACCTTTCCATCCGCAAGGAAGCCTACCTATATATCCTCCAGTACTTACACCAGAAATGGCAAAAGTGTTTGACAAAATTGCAAGCACCTCGGAGTTTCTGAAAAATGGGAAGTCAAGCACGGACTTAGAAATGACTGCTATAAAGTCTGCAGTTTCCGACCTCCCAGCCTCGGAAAGCTGCAGGGACATCAGTAAATTTGACTGGTTAGATTTGGATCCCCTAAGTAAACCAAAAGTGGACAGTGTGGAGACTTTATATAAGGCAGAGGATGATGGAGAGACGGCTTCAAGTTTGACAGCTGAAGATCCATGGGACGCTGTGTTGTTGGAAGAAAAGTTGTTAGTAACGTGTCATCTGGAAAGAAAAATTAATGGGAAATCTGCTGGAGCAACAGTTACAAGGAGCCAGTCCTTAAACATGAGAACAACTCAGCTTGCAAAGTTACAGGGCCAAACATCACAGGTGAGTGAATCAGTGTTTTTAGGTAGTGGTATGATGTTAAATATTAATCACAGTACTTGAAGATACTTTAAGTTCTGTTGTTAAGTATTACTGGGCTTGTGTGTCCAAATAATGTGATGTTACTGACATATGCATACGGATACTCAGAAAATTGAACGTTCCTACTGAACTAAATCCAAAAATAACTGGGATTGTGTGTAATCTTTCCAAATTTACCAGGGAAACTGCTGGTATTCAACGCACTACAGAAAAGAAATAGCCCGTAGAGCAAAGTATTTAAATTACATAAATTCTTAAATTCATGAGCTGAATCAGACAAGGCTACAAAATAAAGACAGTGAGCTAGATGTTGAGAGCTTTCATCTTGAGCAGGGTTTATCTTAAGGTTTGAATAGCAGGTTTTCCACCTTATATTTCACCTTATATTTGAAGCTGTGGGTTTTGTTTTTTTTGTTTGTTTTGTTTTTTGCTGTCGTTAGCTTTGACTATACTGCCTTTGTTTTAAAACAGTTCTCTGCTCTCCCACTATGACTTGCAATCTTTCGCAGGACCAGTGTAATTCTCTTTCGTAGGCATAAATCTTTCCTTTCGTGCAGGAATGCTGGAGAGATGGTAACCAAACCTTTTGGATGTGCTGTTGTTGAAGGTGGGATGCCTGATGGGGGCTGTTGGGTCACAAACCCTGTAGCTCTGTGCTGGAAGAGGGAAGGCCTCCTTGGTGTGAGGTTGTTTGCCTTAAGCAGGGCAAAAAGGTCATCTCCGCTTTAGAATCGCAGTCATTTGCATTAAAATTTCAAGATAAAAATGTCAACACTACCTTTGGTTGTAGCACTTTTCTTTTTGGACAAAGAGCACGTGCAGCTTCTATTTAAATTATATAGCAGTGATAAACAGTCCAGCAATCATAACTTTGTAGGTTGTCTCTTCTGCTAATTTGTGCCCTCAAAAGTACGTCCTACCCTATCCCAGTAAGAGTCCAGTCAGTGGCTGCAGATTACTTCATTTTTCTACATTTTTTAATTCCTGTTTTTGCGATAATTCCACCATAAAATAGGATGTAGCTTTATAAAATATTAGTCACCTCACTAGAAAGTGAGTATGAATACTTGTGGGCATTTTTATTATTTTTTTTGGTAGAGAGAGTGCAGAGGCAGAAGGAGAAGTCTTCAGTGGAAAAGTCTACACCCTGGCAAGGGTGGTGGTGGCAGGAAAAATCCCGTTTGGAGAAACTGGCTGAAAGTGGGGGTGGGAGTAAAAGGTTTGTTTGCCTGGTAGATTCAGGCTTGCAGCTGTTTTGAATCTTACGTATTGTCTTTCTAAGTGTTTTTAGCAGACTGGGGGCAAGCTGGAAAACCAACTGCTGCCAGTCAAGGTCGTTTTCCAAATTGCTCCTTTATTTCCCACCCCTCCCACCCCAAACTGGGCCATTTCTTCCCCCCAGGAAAAGGAATATCCACTGGGCTGGAGCTTCATGTCTGAATTTCCATTGAGGTGAAATTGCTGGCTGCTGACTTGGAGTATTTCCTGTTTTTCTGGGCTAGTTGTCAGTGTTCTGGCAGAAGTCTAAGAGAGCCAGTGGAGAAAGACAAAAAAAGAAAAATAAAAAACTAAACCTTTACTTTTTTTTTTTCTTTCACATTTTTAAAATGATGTGTGTGAAGATCGCAGGTCTAAGTTTGTTTGTGCTTTTTTTTCTTTTTTTTGTCCCCCCTCAGTGTTAAGCTTCAGGTGGTTGTCATGTAACTTCTGCCCAGATCGGTGCTTCTGAGGCGCTGTCTGTAGGAGGTAATATCGGCGTGATGGTTGCTGAATGAAATCTTTTTTTCTACCAATTCCATTTCCCATAAATTCTTTCAAGAGCGTAGGATTTAAAAGGGTCTTCCCTGTTCATCAGGTCCAGTCCCATGCTGTTTACAAATATTATCCAGCTCATCAAATTCTCAAACATGTTTTATTTTCCTGCTGCTACTTCTGATTTAAAGGCTGTTCCAAAGGAACTTCTGATTTAAAGGCTTTTTAGTCATCTGATTTTCATCAGAAAGACATTTATAACTAGTTCCTAGCAAATTTTCTTCTTAACAGGGTGGAACAGCAGCAACTTGAGATGAAGATCCATTTTGGTGTCAACCCTTGCCCCTCAATGTGTTATAAGAAATTTCTGACAGCTTTCAGTGCAGTCTCCTGTGTGGTAGCTTCTTTCCTGTTTTTTCCTTTTTGAAGATGGTTTGTGGGAATTTTAATTCTGTGTATGTACCTTAATGCCTTGTACAGTGGCATGAATAAATTCATCACTGGGAGAAGCATCCTGCTTCATATATTTATTGTGTTTGCTTTATTCATGATGGCATCACATGAGCATATATTGATCCTGTGGTCAGCTAATGTACCTGAATCTTGTTAAGCCAACGTTATGGTATAATATGCCAGTTCTAGTCTGTATTATAATGTTGGCTGGCAAACAAAGCTATAAATTACCAGCAGGGCTGTGTCTGTCTCATGTTTAATGACAAGCCCCTCGACCTGATATCCTTTCCACCTAACCTGTTGCTTTAGCTTGGCCTGTGCATTGTCACTTTTTCCAGTTTAAATAACTTTCCTTCTGATGTAGTATGAAGCTGAGCTCTCTAGATAGCCCCTATTTTTGGCAATTCTCTTGTATTTTAACCCATTTCCTCCAGATATGTATTTCCTTCAAAGTACTTTTTGAAGTCTTCTATCCTAACTGAATCACTTTTTTCTTGCATCACCTCATAGTTTCACTGCTCCTTTAACCAAATCTACTAGTCAAAATTTCTAGTCATATATTTTGATTCCACTGTGTACTTAATATCCTAAACCAATAGAAGGATTTGAGTTTTGCTTCGTATTTGGTAAAGTATCAATGTGTTTGGTATTTGCCCTTTAAATACTTCAGTGCTCATCTCTCTCCTTGCTGAAAGCAGAGGTGTTTTGTCCTAGTGTAGATGTTGTCTTCTCTACCATTCCTCTCCACAGAACCTTTAAGCTTTATATACTTGTGGGATCTAACTTAACTTGACTTTTGGCCATTTACTGAATGGTGGGATTTTTTTTGAATGCTAAGAGAAATTGTATTTGCAGAGCACTTCTATTTTTGCAGGCTGTGCTGATAAGAGGCCTCTGTGTCAGGTAGCTATTTGTTTAGCTTGGCCTGAAGTCCTACCTTCGGAGTTATTTCCTGGCTGACTGATAGCTTTTGCACCTCTGAAATTTGCTCGTCTGGAACGTAAAGAAATTCACATCCTGCTGGTAGCCCAGGAACCTAGTCACCCACCTCGTGACTTCAGTGGGCTTTAAAAAATTTTGTAGTTTACCAAAGCTTGTCTTCCTGACACTATTTTCCAAGAAAATGATCAAAATCAAGTATTGAAATTTAACTAAAGATGCAAGTGGGTATTTAATGTTCTCAAAGGTAAGTAGGAGGTCGTTCCCAACAAGGCCTGTCTGTGATAACTTCAGATCTTTCTCCTCATCCAGATGTGCCCCTGAGGTGAACTATGGATAACCAAATGAACTTTTTTTTCCTTTGCTCATTATGTTTGAATTTCCTTTTTTTAAGGAATCTCTTTGTGTGGTGCTTTTGTACTCTGGTGTTGAGTTGTCCAAGTGCTCTGGGTGCTTCCTTGGTATCCCTGAACTTCTCACAGAAAATCCAACGTTTGTAACAGAAAATGCACTGCTTGTATAGCAGCTGCTGGGTTTGGACCTGGGGAGCTTTGTGCTGAGTTCTGCCCAGCAGTTCCCTGGCTCTTTATCGAGGGTGTTTACCTTTGGCTTGGTGTGTTGGCTTCCTGTTTCCGTGTGGGGCTTTTTGTTGTTATTGTGCGATTGCATAAAGGATACGTGTGCTGGAAACAATAGCACAGGTTTGTCAGCGGCCTTACGCAGTTGGCCAGAAGTTATTTTTGTGTGCTACAACTCATCCATGATGTTAGGACGAAGCTTTCGAAACTTAAGGCCTGCTCCTGAATCTCTTTCCAGGCTTTGTAGCTTTCCTGCTCTTGTCACTTGCCACAGTCCAACTAATGCCCGCTCTCGCAGAATTGATCCTTTTGCTCATAAACCCAGCATTTCAGCTGGAATAACAAGATGGAAATGCCATTCAGATGACACGTATTGGTTGTGTATATGGTCATGTTTAAGTGAATGCTGTAATACGTAAACATGAAGTTGCTGAGCAAAACCCAGTCTACGGGTGGTCCAGGCGTGAGGCCTTACCTCAGCCTGACACGGCTCCGTCAGGTACCTGGTACTGTCTAATGAAATGAGATGCTAAGCTCATGGTGTCAGCTTGTAATAAATAACCCATGTACTGGTTAAGTAGTTGTTCACTATTTCAACTAGTTAATTCCCTTCTAGATGCGTTCTAGTTTGCACCTTTGGGAGCTGCTGGTGGCTCGTGGGGCGTAAGGGATTAAAACAGCGCTAATTCGATACCCCTGGATGAGCCCTCAGTTTGTGTTCTGCATGCTGCTTCCCTCCAGGGTATGATTTATCTTTTCCTGCTTTGTAGGAGAAGGCGGTAGTAGTCAGAACTGGTGTGTCATGGTTCTTTGTGGGGCTCCTTGCTGAAGGCTGAATGGCAGAAGTGGAGGAAAAACGATTGCCTTCCTCATCACGTCCAGCAAAGTGTGGCCAAGTGCCTGTTGTAATTGCTCGCTGCTGAGAGCTCAGGAGCTGTTTTGCTTGCAACTTACTCTTAACTAGTATTGATACTGTCACATAAATCAATTTCTTTAAGGAGCTCTTTAGTTCAGTGAATCTTTACTTTTCAAGTTGATAATGATGCATTTTTTTCACTATGTAAATAGACAAAACTAATAATAAACCCCAGGTATCTGAAATTCTGTCTGCTACATGTGACTTTGTAGGCTTTAGGAATATGTTAGCAGTTATTTAAACACTGTATTTTCTTTGACTTGCAGAAAGACAATGGGACCACTGGTTTGCTGACAGAAAATGCACTTCTCCAAGAAATTGAAGGGCAGAATGAAGAACTGTCAGCTTTCTCTCAAACAGTTACAAAGTAAGAAATTGCTGAAATTAAATTAACTTTCAGAAGAAGAAAAAGAAGTTAAATAAATCATTATTACTTCTGTGTTGGAAAAATCAAATTCAGTCAGAAGTTTTCAGTTTGACAGGGTCAGTACCAGGTTTTGGGGTTATTTTTGCTTGATGAGGCAGGTTTTTGGTATGTGTTTTTTTTTTCCCTCTGCTTGTTCCAGTTTCTCTGGTTTTTATCATGGTTTTCAAAAATGCAACAAAATTCTTAAGGTGTTCAGTAGTATGAAGTTTTCTTGAGTGATCCTGTCTCCTTTTTATTCTTTTGGTCCTATTACCTTCTACAGTTGTAGATTTTCCTCTCATTTTTTTCCTTGTTTTTATAATGCTTATTATTTTTACACTCAAAATATATATATATTTTTTGTATCTGCATAAATCTTTATATCCTTCTATATTACTGTTTTTCAATATAAGTTATTTGGAAAGAACTCTGTCTTTTTCTTTACTGATATACCTCAGCAAATCCTACAACTCAAATGGCTTTCTAAATCTTAAATACCCATTTTTGATTTATTTTTTTTTCTGTTTGTTTGGTTGGTTTGGTTTGTTTGTTTTGTTGTTGTTGTTTTTTTGCTTCCACAAGTGGAGCTCTGTAAGAAAAATCTGACAACAACAAATACGAACCCTAAACTTGTTCGTGCTTTGATGGGGTAGTGGAATGTCTTAAATAAGATACCAAGGAAGATAAAAAGCAGTTATCACAATACTGTCTATTCATTACTAGGTGAACATGTTTTATGTTGTTTGTGTCCTAAAGAACAGCCTTTCCCCTAATTTAAGCCTCTTTATCAAATTCTACGGTTTAATCTGAACTTCTGAGTAGTATTTAGACTTGGACAAATTTAACATGTAAAGAGTTCTTGTGGTCTTTTGTACGTGAAAGAAATTAGCCTTTTTTTTTTTTAAACTCAGTTTTAGGCAAAAGTTGTAGATTAGCTTTTTCAAAACTGTTTTAGAGCTAAGCTTCTACAGAATCTGGGTATGTCCTGTAAGCGTTGACCTATTAAGTATTTTAAGCTATATGAAAACCCTGCCTAATTAAAAACTATTTTTTTCCCCTCTAACCACTGACACATAATTATTGTGGGCAGTGTTCTGTTGGGAGTAGAAAAATTAAATGTTTTTGTATATACAGTTTAGGTAAGAGCAATAGGCATTCTTTACTGCTTTGGTTTGAGGTTATTATAATGTTCTTTTGCTTTAGTCATAAACCATTGCAATGCTTTATAAACTTTTTCTATTTACAGATTGAGGACCAAGTTTCCATATGCTGATCAGCAAACAAATCCAGGCTTTGTGCTGAGTCCAATCATGCTGCAAAGAAATATAAGTGGGGAGAGTGCCAGTATCAAGGTTTCTATAGAAATCCAAGGATTTCAGCAACCAGTAACTTTTACATGCGATGGTACGTTTCTACTTTCTGAACTGGAACTTGCTTGTAAGGCTCAGAATGGTGGGCTGAGACTGCACGCCCAGTCTAGGCTTTCAGTTTTTATAATCCCTAGGTCTCAGGTGCGTGGATTGTTTGTGGGGAATGTGGAAAAAGGTAATTGAAGAAAGAACCTACATGTGGGTCACTGCTTCCATCCATCAGAAGATATTTAGAAGCTGACAAAATGAAACGTTTTTTTAAAAAAGTAAAACAGCCAAACAGGAGCACAGTTCTATCCAAAACGAAGGAATATTAAAACCAGCTTTTCTAGGGTTTGACCTAACAAACCAAATTACCTACTTCATGGTAATTTGGGGGGCGGGCAGAGGGGAAATGAGCTGTTAAGTTTCATCAAGTTTGTATTGAAATGTATGCTGGAATGCTGGAATAAAGCTATGTCAGGTTATCTGGAAATTCAGACGAATGGCTGTTGGGAAATGAGAATAAACACTGAAATTATACTAGCTACCATGCGAGTTCAGTATGTACTTATGAACATAAATACTAAAGTAATACTAGCTTGTTGTGCTGCAACTAGCTGGCCAAGTTCCTGGGTAACCAGGCATATTATCTTGGAATGGAACTTTTAGGTTTGCCTTGTACAAAAATTCACATTCTCTGTGCAGTCAACACTGCACGGCCTGTCTGTATTAAGGCTGTAACTCTGGATGCCATCAGCTTCGGGTAGCTCTTGGTGATAACTGATACTGCTAAACAACAACAACAAAAAAACACTGAGGATCCTGCTGAAAAAATAAAATGCCTCCGTATAGTGTTTTTAGGGAATATCGAAGCATTTAATATTGTTGGCAGATGATTTAAAGATGATCAGAAAGTAGGTAGGGAGGTGTAGGGAGCATTGTGCACTTAAACCTTCTGTGTTAAAACATACAACTTGATGTATGATAATGTATATTTTATACATATATATTGTATATATACATTTATAATGTAGATATTATATGTATGATAATAAGGCCATCTTATTAATAAAATAACACACTTTTCTCGTGTAAAAACTGCAAAGCATGTTGCAAATTAGCTGGTTTTGTACTTTTAGTCAAGTGACTACACTGTATCATAATAGGATTGATTCATTTCTGGCAGGCTTTAGAATATACCTTTGTTTGCAGTAGAACGTGAAGATTTCAAACGATGAAATTTAGGAGATTATAAAAGCATAAGTCTTCTATGAGTATAAAAATAAATTTAAATAACGAACAGCTACAACTTGTTGGTGAACTATGCTTAAATTCATTTGCAGTACACCTATATTTAACTTGTAGATGTAATTTCTTTGAACAGTGAGTTCCCCTGTTGAGCTTATAATAATGCAGGCACTTTGCTGGGTGCATGATGACTTGAGTGAAGTGGACATTGGCAGCTATATCCTGAAAGTCTGTGGCCAAGAAGAAGTCTTACAGAAGTAAGCAAACCCTTTTTCATTAATGTTTAACTTCGTACTTTTTCATGGCACAGTTATTGGCAAGTATATTTTTAATGATTAAATGTGTGAGAGCAGAAATCTTCAAAATGTTTTGCACAAAGATCAGAAGTCCTTAGAGTTGCTGTGGTATACAGCAAATTAGGTTCTTAACATCTTCCTAGAAGTCTATTCTAATCTGCCATCTGTTGTGTTGAACACAATTGTTTTTTTCAGATGCAGATTTCTAGATCTTTTCTATAGATTAATGTTATAGTTTTCAGCTGCTCTTTAAATCCCAACAGTCAGGGGGAAAAAAATCTGCTGACAACTTCTAATCTGAAATAATCTGAATTCTTTCAAAACTAATGGCTTGCAAATCCCCATTGGTTTTCTGGATTTGAATATTTGCTTTCAATGTTAACCATAGTAGTTCAGACCTTTAGCAAAAATGTATTCTAGAACTTCCACAGAAGTGAAAAACTCCATGAAGAAGTATGATGTGGAGACTGATTTACCATTTTCTTATTGTGAGCCCAACAGGTGGTCTTAAATATTCCATGTCAGATCTCTGAGAAACAGTGAATATTTTTGGTGTAAATAACTATTGCTTTCATTTGTTTAACAGTAAGCACTGTGTAGGAAGCCATGAATATATTCAGAACTGTCGGAAATGGGATACAGAAATTAAACTGCAGCTCGTGACTCACAGCGTAATGTGCAGGGGTCTGGCGCGAACAGTAAGTACCTCCTAAAAGGCAGCAGCAGTATAAACCTTGAAGAGTATGGGAGCTTGTGTCAGAGTTGATGGATCCACTTTCCCCCCGTGTCAATGTGTACACCTTTCTTAGGCTACCAGCTAGTTATTTCTTTTTGTCTTTAAGAGACCACTTTGCATCCTTCCCCTTCCGCAGGTATTAGCAATGAGATTGCTAAAACAGTGTTAGGAATTTTAGGAAGTTGGGAACTGGACTGAATATCTAATATCTTACTGCAGGAAGAAGATGACAGAACACCCATACACCTAACCAAACACCTTTACAAAGTAGAAAAGCCTTTCAGAGAACCTATTATAAGGTAATAATATTATGTGTTTGTTTTTTTTCATTACCAAGCGCACTGCTGAATTTCTGTCTTGAGGTTATGTTACACTCTTGCAGTGGTGTTCAACAATTATTATTTCTTGCAGGTGTTCTCTTGAAGAGCTTCTTGAAGTCTATCATAAGCAAACTGAAATAGCTCTTAAAAATGAGGTAAGTTCGTTTTAAATTATTGCTGAACCAAAAGTAGCGTGAGAACATTTACAGATAAGATAGTTGGAGGAAATAGACTTTCTTGTCTTGGGGAAACTGTAGACCTGAACAAGCTGTCAGAAATTTGGAATCATAGGATTTTTGCATTGCTTTTCAGTTTTCTTTCTAGCTTTTCTTGCAAAGTAATCATTACCTAATCATCACGACTATCAATGTGTCTTCCAAGTTCTGGAATGCAAAACCTTTTCCTCAAAAATGTTGGAAGAGATTAATTTAGGGAAAAAGGTCTGAATCTTGACTATCAGTTGTTATTCATGAAGGGTATATTGGTATCATAAAAATTTACACAAGTTAGCAGTAATGCTTGTGCACAATGGGAGTTAGAGGTGAAGCTTTTTTGGAACAGCGAAGTTGGTTATGCTTCACGTAAGACTATTGAGTTCATTTAAAATACAATGTCAAAATCAGTGGCTATTTCACTGTATCACAAGTAACCTAAAGCAAGTCGATGTGCAATAATTTGGAGTAATTTCCCAAATGCAAAAGGTAGCTGAAGATGATAACCTACTTTGCTCATTTCTGGAAGGACTGTCTTTGTTTAACTCCTGAGAGTAATGTAAACTGGAGACTGAAACCTCAGATAGCTTCTATAAGAAGTATGTTTCTTAAACGGTTTTTGTAAGGAAGAGTCTTAAAATGAGTGCCTTGGTGGAAATGAAAAACATCGTGAGGAAGTCTGTTTTATTGCCTTTCCAGGAGTGCAGGTCTCAACAAGCTTTTGTCTGCTATTTGCATATCCCCTTAATACCATTCAATCATAGGATTTTCTAATGCCTTTGGTGATTCACCACATTTTCAGGGGCAGTTCTGAACACAGTTTTGTTGTAGAATAATGAGATATTAGTGCTCCTTGAGGTGGTGGTGTTTTTGTTGCTTTGCTCTTGCAGCTGCCTCAGCTTGGTTGTTTAACTGCAATTTCACAGGCTGAGATGAGGAATGCAAAACATCACGATTCAGACTTAGTTTCTACTCTAACCACAAGGTAGTTCCGAAGATGGGAGATGGATCTTGTAGGTGATGACTAGGTCCAGATACCAGCAGTTACTGCATTTGATTTTAATACTTCCTGAAGTGAATTTATGTACGTACTCAGTAGCTGAAGCTTGCTTATCAAGGAGAAGCAGGGTAAAAGTGATCTACAAATCACTTGTATTTAGCCTTTGATTTCACATCTGTGGACATATTAAAAGTTAGCTACTGCATTTTTATGAATTTGAGATCCTGTGAGGAAGATAACAGTGGAGACTTCGCTTTGCATGTGCCAAACAGCCATTATCTTCAAAGCGTTAGTTTTCAAAGTAGGCTTAAATATTTGCATTGTTTTCCAACTTTCATGGTTATTTTCAAACCAGGACGAAGTTAATTGTTGCCAGGTAACTGCCAATCCCATTTTTTTTTAATTCAAATGGCTGCTTTGTTATCCATTTGCAGGAATGTTGGAGGAGAAAGTGTGTGTGTGTGGGGGTATAAGGAACCAGTTTATGTCTTAAGAAGAGAATATTACACTAACTGCTCAAAAGTGATTGTGGAAGGTCCCTATACCTTAAGCCTTTTAAAAGTAAAGAGATTTCATTCTGAAGACTTTGCTTAGATTAAAAGAAAATCTAAGATTCTTTGGATTTAAATTAGGCATTTTTTATTCTCTCTGGAGAAGAGGAGGAAGGCGATATTAGGAGATTCCAGATAAGTGTACAATCGTGTACAATCTGCCTTCCTTTCCTTCTCCAGGATGGCAGTTTGCCATTGCTTCACCTGTAAGAACTATTTAAGCTTTGTGATATGCAAGGCAACAGTTGGAACAAACATTTTTCAAACAATGTGTTAAAGTGAAGTCAAAAAGAGAAATGTTCCATTATGGAAGTTATACTGTAGCGTAAGTGTATCTTGAATCTACCTGGTTAAGAGGGCTGAAATTGAAAAGCTGCTGCTTTAGCATGATTCCTTCCTCACACTAATTGAATATTCTTAAACTATGCTTTTTTTAAACATCATGTGGGAATTTGAGCTTAGTATCTCATTAGACAATACTTACCTGCTTAGAACTTAATGGAAAAATGATTGGAAACCATATGTTTCTAGGGACACCATGCTGGAATCTGTACTAGTCCTGGTTTTATGGCACTGGTAACCGAGCTACAAGAAAATTTTCAGTACTGAGACTTTTTGTTTAACCACATTGTTACATCGTTTTATTTAATTGAGAAGTGGGTCTCATAATAAAATTGTCTTGGCAATTCATTCTAAAAAAAAAAAGTTTAAAGAAACACTGGCTTGAACAATTGTGATCAGCTCAATCTGTTCTTTCATACGTTCCTTATTAGAACCAGCATAAAGCAGTGGATCAATTAATTAAGACTGTCAGAAAAATCTGTTCCACATTGGATGGCGTAGAGACTCCTGCAATAACGGAATCAGTAAAGAAGCTAAGGAGGGCTGTTAATCTTCCAAGGACTAAAAACACCGAGGTAAACTTTTAACACTATAAATTGTGTTCTGAGGTATGCTTTCTAACAGCAATGAATATTACTTCATAATCTCCAGTAGCTGCAAATATTGACAACAGTTCAGTCAGGGTTATGTTTTTGTTTGTGTTTTTTATTTATTTCATTTGGTGACATCAATTTATTTTAACAATTTGCTATTAATGCATTAATCACCTGGTCTTGGAATCCCTTCTTGTTCCAAACAGCAACTTTAACCTAGTTTTAAAGTCACAGCAGATGCTGTTAAATCTGACCAGGGAAACTGACAGCTAGCTCATGCTCTCTGAAATCAATGCAGTTACACTTAGATGAGGAATTCACATGTTGTACTTTTGGTGCAGTATTTATGTGAATAGTAACAATGTTTTAAAACTCTAGCAGTCCATGTTCCTGCATTCCTGAGCATGTGGGCAAAAATAAAATTTCTCGAGTAGTGCAGAATGTGATAAAACTGGCTTACCACGAGCAGGTGATTTGAGCAGAATTGGCCTCCCATCACTTTTTCATAAAGTCACTAAAGCAAAAAGTATGCAAATAAAAAAGCTAAGTAGTCTTGTAATGCCATTTCTGCTTTCTTGCTGTCGTATTAGAGAGAGTGGTGATTCCTGTGCTTTTTTTTTTTGCTTTTTTTGGCTTCATCAGTATAGTGATATATTTGGAATACTGAGCTGAATTTTTGCAAAATGCAGTCTGAATAAATATAGCTGTCACCAGCACTAAAATTCTTGCAGACGAATACAGGAAATTGGTGTAAAAGACTAGGGAAATACAACATGTATTTCTCCAGTGTTTGTTTTTTTGATAGGAGAAAACTGTACAAATAATCAGACTGCATTGTAAAAATCCACAAGAAATGCTATCCCAGCAGAATTTGAAAAAAGTACCTCTTTATAAATAAAAACCTTCAATTTTCTTGTGATGAAAACTGGCTTGAATGGCAATGTATATGAAGGATTACTTTCAGAAACCTATCAAAACCTTTTGTAAGATACTGTTTGTGTGTGTTTTTTCTTTAGTAATTGGTTTGTGGGTCAATGTAGTGGCCAAAAATGTAAAAGAAAATAGTAGATTCTCAAGTAGAAAATGACATCTGTAGCACTGTTCCACCAGTGTTCAGCACCTTGCAAAGTACTTGGATTACTTCAAGTGTGGTGGAGACAAAGCAGTTCTTCTGAGGGGGGGAAAAAGATGTGATCCCGTTAACCTCACACCTCTAGGTTTATTTTTTTTATTTTAGCAGAATTTTTTGCCAGTTGAAACTTAATGTTGACAAGGTGCTCAGTTAATGCATGGAAGGTGTAAGGAGAGCTTTCATTCTGCAAGTCGAGGAATTCATTACGTTTTGCTTTTAAATCACCAGCTTAGTTTTCATTAAAAGTTTCAGTTGTATCAAAGTTGGGCTTGGCATGAAATCCTTTCTTATTTGAAGGGAGTAAGTTCCCATAATTTGTTTGTCAGCTGTAGACTGCAGTAGTGTCCTTGCTGAGACGAGACACTGCTGTGATACCGTATCGTGTTTAGACTTCCATTTGAGCAGACCAAGAAGCAAACACGGCAGATAGGGGCAGTACTTACTCCTCGATTTGCCTCAGGTTAACTTTCTTTTTAATTCAGAAAACTTACGGTAACTGTGCCTACAAAGATGCCTTAACAAATGCCACAAAACAGCTGTTAGACTTAAATTGTTGGTAATGGAGCTACCAGCTTCTGCTTTCATCTGCAACAGCCCTGAGTTTCCTCTTTACTCGGGGAAGATAGAGTATCCTGAGCAATATTCCAACATGTAGCTTGTTTTTTTTTTGAAGTTCATAAGGGATGTCGGGATAGTTGTGACTTGACAAAACATATGCTTTTGAACTTAGTGTGTGGTTACTACATGATAGGGAAATTTTGACACTACCTGTTAGCTCTTGAGGAACTGTAATTAAATAAAAGGTACGGTGCATAAACCCAGATATGGCCCTAATTTAGATGTTTTGTAATTTCTGGAGAAGATAGATTTAAGGGCAATGGCAAATGAGTATAGGCTTCTTGTTACTGAAATTTACTCTAATTTACTGTGTAGGTATCCTTAAAATGTGGCGATGACCCTAGCAAGAGTTCAGTCTGGTGAGTAAAGTTCTTTAATTTTACTTAAAAATTGCTCTAAGGTGGCTATTTTAGGCAGATACACATTAAAGGTAACTTATAAATTAGGTTCACTACAGCCTGAAAGCCCTCTGAAAGTGAGTATAGACCAGTTAACAAGAGCAGTTGAGGCCCTTCTGCAACTCCACATGAATTCGTGTAGCAGCAGTTCGGCAGCAATTTCTCCAAAAGATAAGAGTACGAAGGAAGCATGGACTGCCACGGAGCATCTCCAGTTCACAGTGTTTGCTGCACATGGAATTTTTCCTGGTTGGGTAGCAAAGTAAGTAATTCATTAGTTGTAAAATTCATCCTTTTTTTTTTTTTATTTTGTGGAGTTACTTTTTGTTTACTTTTTGTTTATTTTCTTTTCCTTGTTCAGTTATGAAAAATACTACTTGATTTGTTCTCTGACACACAATGGAAAAGATCTGTTCAAACCTGTTCAGTCCAAGAAGGTTGGCACATACAAGAACTTCTTCTACTTGATTAAATGGGATGAACTGTAAGTGATTTTAGAATGCTAACCACCACTCCCTCCACAAAATACTTTGTTTTAGGTAATACCTACCTAGCTGGCTGCTGAGTATGCTAACTGAATCAGCTCTTGCTTCCAAAGTGTTGAAAGAACTATGTGTGAGACTTGAGAGCCAAATCAGAAATATTATTCTGAATGGTATTTTGCCCTGCGTTTTAAAACTGGGAATGGAAATTCTGGACAGGCGCCCCGTGCTAATTTATTTATAGTATACAACTATAATGAGTTGGGAAGGTCATAGCATTCTTTGTAATGGGAACAGCTTGCACTGCTTAAAGAAGGATGAATAAAGCTTGCTTTTAAGCAGTGCTCAGATTATCTAAATGGGGAGGGAAAGCAGCTGACTTTTATTGACATTAATGCTGAATAGTTTTTTGTTCCAAATATGTCACAACAACTTCGTATCTAATTAATAAATCTAATTGAGGATTGTTTCTATAAAGAGATCAGATGCATAAGTACTTAGAGCATCTGTCTATAGCTTATGAGAATGTCTGGATTGAGCTACTAAAGTTAGGGCTCTTTTTATGGGGCAGGGGAAAAGGGTAGGAAAGGAGGAAGCAGGAGGATGCAGAGAAAGAGGATGGCAGGTGGTATCTGAGAGGGGAAAACACTTTTCATTATCTACACACAAGTTACTCTTTTGGACTTCGTAGTTACCAGGCAGTCTGCATAACTGAGGTGTCAGATGAGCTCCCATGTTTCCTTATTTCTCTTTCCATGACTATTTTTAAAGGTCAGAGATGGACTCCAATGAATACTCCAGAAGTCTACAGTGACAAATTATTTCAGGCCAGGAATGAAAGTTTCAGGTTCTGGAATACATGCCTCCAGAGAGTACTCTGGCCACTTTTTTTTTTCTTTTTTTTTTCTGATATTGCAATGAATTAATTGTCAGGTCTTTTGCTGACAAGTGACAGTGTATTACAGGGAAAGATGTTAAACAGGCTGCTTATAAGGTGCTTAGTACAATTGTGGTCTTTTATATTGTAACTGGCTTAGTAGTGTGCTCTGATACCGCACCAAAATACAATTCAAAAAATTACAGAAAATCACAGAACGCTTTAAGCAGTGAAAACCCCGTAAACAAAAATCAAGTTGTCCAGTGGGGTGTGTGATCTTCAGCTGCTTTCGATGGGATTGCTGGGTTTGTTCTGGTGAATTTAAATTTCAGTAGTTCTTAAGAGGTTAATACATTGGGATGGGAAACTGTTGTCAGCTGCCTCTTCAGTAAGATCTGAGAGATGAGGAGGCAGCTAACCTGGAATTGTGTGTCCTGGTAGTGAGTAGAGTGGGAAGACTGGTTAGGCTGGACTGTGCAGTTCTGAGCAAGGAATGTGATTTAAGAGACAAAGATTAAAGAGGGTTGTTCTACTGCCAATTAAAAAGGGTTGTTCTAAATCTATCTCCAGTGCAGAATTGTAACTTAGTTTTTATAAACTATCAGTGTGGGAGATAGTGGAGTGAATTATAATTGCACGGAAACATTTGTCCTTCCATGTTAATTGCCTTTTTGAAAGCCAAAGGCAGCAACAGATTATATGGATGACAAGCCTGTAATTTACTAATAATTGTTTTTCCTTCTATGTCTGACTTACTTTAATACTTTTATTTTATAGAATAATTTTCCCCATCCAGATTTCACAACTGCCTTTGGAATCAGTCTTGTGTCTGACTTTGTTTGGAATTCTGAATCAAAGCAGTGGAAGTTCGCCTGATTCAAATAAGCAGAGAAAGGGCCCAGAAATGTTGGGTCAGGTTTCTCTACCTCTTTTTGATTTTAGGCGGTAAGTATCCAAAATATGGGTAAGTTTGTTAATGCGATTTATTCTATATAAAGTTTAGTACACCTAACTACAGAAACTGCTTCTCTGCTGCTGAATGTAGCAGGAAGTAACAAAGGTAAGAGTCTTCAACTGTATTGTTACGGAAATAATGCCTTCAATTAAATTCATGGGGATGGCCCATGGTAGTGTAGGCCAAAAGAGATCAAGGGAGCGGCAACAGTTTGTAAGTATGCAGCAGCTGAGGATGTAAGCGCAACACCACCACAAGTGGTCCTTTGAGGAATTAATTCACTGACATTTAGATCTGGATCTGTTGCTGCATAAGTCAGATGCAGTTAAAGTATCTGCAGGTGTCACCGTCTGCTGAACTGAAAGCCTCCCTTCTGCACTGAGAGAGCCTGGTCTTGATGGGTGGCATTGCATGAGGTCTGAAAGTGTATCATGTTGGCTAGAGATAGTTCAGTTGGCATTTGTGTATATTTTAGCACATGAAGTGCAGACAGCCACTTCTCAGCCAATTCATGAGCTATGGTGATAGAGAATGCAATTTGCAAAAGAAAGAATTTGCAGCAAGTGATGGATTCAGCAGGAACAGTGTCTAGTGCAATACAAAAGAGAACGGAATCCTGACAGCAGGTGAATAATGTGCTATCCTTCCATGCCACTAGCTAAGGGGGCCTTTTATCTTAACACTGTATTAAGATAGGAAAGAATAACTCTTCATCCAGTTCTTTTTGTAGAGCTAAATATGGCAATGGCTCTATCTTGTAACTAGAACACCTTTAATTCAAAGTTTGCAGTATTTCTAAGTACTATTATTCTTTAGAGGCATCTTTGCCTTGGCTGTAAAATAATCAGTGCTGCGTGTTTCTTTAAGTTTACATATACAGCAGCAAAACTGGAGAATTAAATTTGATTAAATATCTTACCTTTTGCATGGATTGATTTTCTTTAATACTCTTAAATTTCTAAGCCCATTAATAGGGTGACAATAAATAAGCCAGCAAGAGAATGGAAATAGTGTTCTAAAACACATGTATCTTTTAAAATACATGTGTAGTTTCTTAGCAGAAATGGCTCATTTAGCTTATTAACCTGTTTGAGTAATAGAGATCACAGGATACTCTGAAGTATCCTTTTGATTCAAAGCTGGGTTTCTTTAAAAAATAAAAATTAAAAATTCTGTTTAATTCTGTTACGCTTCTGGAGTACTTCTAGTTTCAATTGATCTTTCTTCAAATACAGTTGCTGGATCCTGTTAAACTTCTTATATGACTAGGAATGAAAAGCCTACTGTAATGTTCCTCAAATAATGTTCCTGCATTTTCCTGCTCCTTGAAACTTTCATCACTAGGTGATGAATATTCCAAAATGCTAATCATTCTGATGACGTGTGTTTGGAATGGCTTAAAATATCTTTGCTTGTGGATGAGACAGGAGGCTATAGCAAGTATATTAAACTGGGAAACTATTGAAAAGAACAAGCTGTTCAGTTACACTTTGTGGCATGATCTAGTAATTTTTATTGGCACCACAAACTCCTAGTTAATCAATATTGACATAAATAAAGAACTGTTCTTTAAAACGTATGAATACTAAACCATTTCTTGAAATACACTGAAAGCTTGGCCGTTGAGCAGTCTTTTGAGAGATGTCATTTTCATTTTTAAAGGTGGACAGAAGTCTGCTGTTCTTAGGATTACAATGCTTCTTGCTTTATGAAATACCTTAGTTGTGCCTCATTACAGTTGGAAACTACTAACATTGGAAATAAATGGGCAAATATCAATGTCACATGATATGCCCTAGCAGAGCCTAGTAATGGGGAAAGTCCAGACAAGTGATAATTTCTATAATATTCATATGCCTCTATCTTTCTTCTGAGAGGGTAAGGAGGTTCTTGTGTTTAGTTTATTCCTCAGAGGCAGAAGTATTTGTTTTTTCTTTGAGAAGTTGGGAACGCTTAATTTAGCTGGGTCAACCATGTTGGCACCGTATTTTACCTCTGCCTTTTTCAATAACAGCTGTATGCAGGCATACTAAGGGATTTTAATTATAAAACATGTCCAGTGAAAGTTAAAAATGGAAGTGACACTTGATGGACACGATCCCCTTTTTTAAGCTGATGTTATTTTAATAACTAATACTCTGTTGAAGTAAACAGATTGTGACACTAACACCTGTACATGCTTTTTCTCTCAGATTGCTAACTTGTGGGACAAAGCTCTTGCAACTCTGGACCTCATCGCATCCAAATCATGCATCAGGGACGGCCAGTAAGAAGGGAAATATGGAAAGAATAGTATTGCAGGTTATATATATGCTTCTGACTTAACCTGACTACATTTTGTGTGAATGTTGTGACTAACTCATACAAGAGTGGTAGTAGGTTGTTTTAGGGAGAGTGTAAATCTTTTCATATATGAAAGCCAGCATAGAATAGCAATTACTATCCTTTAAGGGCAAAGGATGGAAAGCTGTGTTAAATATATTAAACTCAGATACAGAATCACTGTGTTGAAATTGGAGACATTGGAAATGCCTTAACAATACATGCTATCAGTACTGGGAGAGAAGACCTTTGAAAAGCAATCTGTAGAAACGTGTGCTGAAAGGGGAGTTGTCTAGACTCAAGTGATAGCAATTCCAGTTTCTTCACAGAACATGAATGCCTCTCATTCTCAATTCAGTGTCCAAACTTTGGTCCCAAGGGGAGGTACTTTGTTAGGCATGGCTTAGAAGTCCCAAAATATGGTTAGAGTTGATGGTTTGGTTGATACCACTGGATATGGTTTTTTAATAGTTCCATGTTTAGGCTAAGCTCTAAGCATCCTCATTTCACTTCAAAGGAGTACTCCAACTACTGCTTTGTACGTCACCACAGTTGTCCTACGGTTAAGGACCACAATTCTGTGGAATAATTGAGATGGGGCGGGCAATATTCTGGAAGCAATGCCTGAAAACCGTTACATGTATAGAACTGAAGAGTTTAAATGCCTAAACACTTGATGCTGCTGGAAAGGGGAGCCTCCTGCACAGTTCTTAAGAACTTTTTTTTTTTAGGTTGACTTTCCATCCCATGCTTTTGATATTGAATATAAAATTCCTCAGGCTGCAAAGACTACTGTGCAACATTCCATAGAAACATTAGAGAAACCAATGAGAGAACGTCTCCTCGCCATTCTCGCTAAGGATAACACCATTGGGTATGTTCACCTCTTTGTAGCTGTGATCTCTTTGTGCATGACAGTTTCACAGCTAGGGTGTGGAATGTTAATTTATGCTTAAGCTTCTTTAATGTGCTTCTAGTGTATTTTGAAGACCTGTGGAGTTCTAGACGAGATTGAATGAAACCTGCAAAATAATGGTGCTGACTTAATAAATTCACTTGTGTTTTCTGTAGCCAGTGTCATAATATTCTCCTGTTAGAAAATGGCTACTCTGCCTCGCTGTTGTATATGCCTGTTCCTGCTTGGTATTTCTTCAGTTACAAGGGGCAGTGACAATTTCAGCAGTGGCTGTTTATATGCCATGAAAGCATTTCTGGCAGGCAATCCTAGTCATCTGCACCAAACTAGCATGAACGTTTTGGTTTATTTCAGATTGCACTAAAACCTATTCTTGTCCTCTTAAATTTATAACTTTGAACAACTGTTTCCATAACAGTTGAGTCTTGTTTTGCACCTGTTTTAGATTTTTATGGAGGAAATAGCCATTTTACATGTCATTCTATTTTGTGTGCAAGGTTATCTGTACATATACTATGACCAGTAGCACTGGGGATATGCGGGTGATGTTCTGTAACTTGCATTATGACCTAAAATGCTTTTGTCTGCAGGCTGTCAAAAGAAGATAAAGAATTTTTGTGGGAGAAGAGACATTATTGTCATACTCATACTAATAGCTTACCAAAAATACTGGCTAGTGCCCCTCACTGGGACTGGGCAAGTCTTCCAGAAATATATTCGTTACTTCAGCAGTGGCCTCCTTTATCACCCTTAGCTGCACTGGAACTACTTGATTCAAAGTAAGAAAACAAAATAAAGCTTTGTGTGTGTCACACAAATGACTTTTCTTCAGTAGAAGATGAGCTAAATAAAATTTCTCATACCTAACTTTATTCCGATAGGCTTAACCAAGTCATGTAGTCAAGACTAGCAGTTACGGTTAGGATTCTGAAATCTAATTTGTAACAGGAAGCAAGGTATATAGCAAAGTTGTCAAGACTGAAATTTTGAGAAGTTGGTATGCTTGTCTTAAACACTCCTGTTTGTATCTTACGTAATGCCTTTGAAGCATCTGAAACTTGTAGGCCCTTTGTCAAGCTGTTACAGACTTTATCTTGATTCTTTTCTATCTAGCTAATTTTAAAAAAGGAAGTTAAGTCCTACACAAACAGAACAAACTTGATGTGGATTTGTGATGACTTTCTAGGTTTGCTGATCAGGAAGTGCGAAATACAGCTATGAATTGGATAGAGACATTAAGTGATGATGAATTAACAGACTTCCTCCCTCAATTTGTGCAGGTAAGATTTACTGTTTACGCTGAAGTTAGAATTTTTTGCTCTTGAAAATTTGAAGGAGTCTCTGACTACTTGTCATGGAAATGCAACTGCCTACCTCTATACTTAATAACCTTAATTATTGCATCAGGTGGAAAACAGTTTAAGTAGGTAGCTGCTCTGTGACTGTCCTCTGGATTTGTAGTGGTTCTATCAGTGTGCCAGTCATAAAATGTCTTCATCTAGAAGTAAATCTATATATATACCATTTATTTCATTTTCTTTGTATTTAGGCATTGAAGTATGAAACTTACCTGGACAGTGCTCTTGTCCAATTTCTTTTGGCACGGGCATTGGGAAGTATCCGAATAGCACACTACCTATATTGGTAAGATGTTCTCTGTTCCATTGTTCACATATGATAATTATAAGATTACTATTTCCAGAAAAAATGCTGTCTTAATAGCACAGTTCATAACAGTGTTACATCAGATGAAGAGGAGACAAAATCTACATCCTGCTTTTTTCTATGAAGAAACACAGTGCTTCTATGAGGCGCCAATTTCTTGCCTTTTAAAGCAAGATACTGATCATATGTGTATATTATGTATATACAAAGCATCTGTTCACTAAAATATTTCTATGTTTGACTATTGCATTGTTCGCAGTATTTCCTTGATGAAAATTGAATTTAAATCTGTTATTTCAGGCTTCTTAAGGATACGCTCTATGATTCAAAGTTTGGTGTAAGATATGAGCAAATTCTTGGAGCCTTTTTTTCCGTCTGTGGAAAAGGGCTGAGGGAAGAGCTGGAGAAGCAGACCAGACTGGTTCAGCTTTTTGGAATGGTAGCAGAAAAAGTCAAGCAAACAAGTGTATCAGGTCGACAGGTGTGTAGATTAAATTTTTAATATGCTTTAAGAAGTTTACCTTCAAAGCAGTCCACTCAATTACCTTTTTAGTCTAAGTTCAATCAAATGATATACATATAGGAAGACTATGAATCTGTTGCTCTGCATTGTAGCAAGCTAATGACTTAAAGAAATCAATGTCTTTGTCAAATTTGTTGTCAAGTGCAGCATGGCTTTGTGTGAGGTGATAAGGTAAGGAAGAGGGATGCTGTCTGTGTACAGTAAGCTTAGATTTAAATTTAGATTTAAAGCTATTACTGCTGAAGAGTGATGCCCTTCTGCAAAAGAATGGGATATCTGTGTGATAAGAATGTAAGAGTTTACAGTTTGATAGAGTGGGATGCTATTATCTGATTCAGTTAGAAAATTTTAACAAAAAGCAGTATTAGTATCGTACTGCTAAGTATATGCAATTTTTTTAGTAGCCAAAACAATTGTTGGAACTTATATTTGGTATTCCTTTGACACTGGGGAGTTAAACCAGTGTCTACGGTATATTTTGGGATAACTTGGTCCAGAATTTTCCTGTAGATGCTCCAGTTAAGAGAATATCAGATGAACTTTTTTTGTCTCTCTCTCTCTCTCTCTCTCTCTCTCTCTGCAGGCTGCTTTACAAAGTGGTATGGAACGTGTGCAGTCATTTTTCTTGAAGAACAAGTGCCGTTTGCCTCTCAATCCCAGTCTTGTGGCAAAAGAACTAAATATTAAGGTACAGCACATTCATAGTTTCAGTCTTTTTGTCACAATGACACATAGGCAAAGCTTTTACAAATAGGAAAATCAAGTTCTTGAAAGCTCTTTGCACTAGTTGGGGAGGGTTTTATTAAAAATATAGATGGAAGGAGGGAGTAAAATTAGCTAAGAAAAGGCTAAAGTTATCCTTGTATAAAACCAAGTGAAGGTACTTTTTTTTAAAAGGAAAAAGTAGTAGTTTATTACTACTTCAGACCCTGTCTGCTTTGAGACCAGCAATTCTGGCTGTAGTAAAGTAGAGAAATACTCGAAGTACACGAAAAAAATCTTGTTTGCAGTGGTAATCAAAACAGAAAAGCGAACAATGCTATAAGGTTAAATCAATGAGTAACCAAAGTGAAATCAGTGCAGCTACCTTTTACTGGTTATGTCCAAGAGATATATTAAATCAAGGAAGGCAAACAATAGCTTTATTTCATTATGAAGATCCAATGAATGATAGTGTAGGAGAAGCATTGTGCGTGACTAGGAACCTAAAGGTCTCTATCGCTGGATTTATTCCTATGTAGAGAGTTCCTTTGCTTTCCTTCTCTATTATATCTATTAATTAAATCAGAAGTATGAACTTGAAAGCAGATAACTGAGAATATAGCAAGAGATGCAAATGACCACTTTTTATAATTCAAATTTAAAATACGATAAAATATTTATTCATATTTTACTCACTTTTCAAAATGTATAAAGCATTACTGTTTTGCACTGTCAGCTTTCATACAAGAACTAAACAAATATCAGCAGAAGAGGTCTTTATTCAGAAGAAGCACGCATTCCCCACAATCGCAATGTTAGAAATCTGAATTTTCACACTGTGTGTCATTTGTGCTTGTTGTCAGAATGTCTTGTTTTCTGGGCTCGTGGGAGTAGTCCTTTTCGAGTATTAACACTAAATCTACTTGTAGGCGTGTTCTTTCTTCAGCTCTAATGCAGTACCACTGAAAGTTGCACTGATAAATGCAGACCCTCTGGGAGAAGAAATTAATGTGATGTTTAAGGTAGGCCTTACGTGTGTGGTGGAGAGAAAAATGTTAATTGATAACTGATACCATTGAAACAGTGATTAAATTTACTGTAGATCAGTAAGCTTAGTTACTTTGTGAGTTTGCTCCTGTGCATCTAGAAACCATCCCTTCAGCTTAACAATTAGGAACAGATGTCTGAAAATGGTTAATTTTCACTAAACAGCTAATTTTCACAATTGTAAAACTGGAAACTCTCCCCTTAGTGCTGGCGTGACACCATGTAAATGAACACCTCAGAATCTTGAAAGTATCCATAGAACTTCCCTGCTAGGCAGGAGAGTATGTATATCACAGATGATATGCACATCTGACATAACTGCTACGAGCTTTCTAAAGCTGCATGAGATAACAGGTAGTGCTTGGAGTTACTGCACTCTTTCAAGGACAAATACAGTTTCCCTTGGAACAGCTATTCCCTAGCATCTTCTCAGAGACAGGTCATAAAGCCTTAATGATAAAAAGGAATAAGAAAGGATGTAGTATTTTTGTAAAATTTCTCTAAATATTACAACTTCAAAAGTTAACCAATATTTGAACATGTGGTACAATCTGAAAGTCAGTCTACTGCATGCGAAAATGTTATGTGTAGTTTCTCTTATTAAATCTGTAGCTGTAAGGAAATAAGTAGCATAATGCATTCCTTACTAGAAATGTAAAGCAATCAAAATCTGAAACTTAGTTTTGCTGAAAGCATTTTATGTCTCCACTTAACATTTATATTTCCATTCAAGGTTGGAGAAGATCTGCGACAAGATATGTTGGCTTTACAAATGATTAAGATTATGGATAAGATCTGGCTGCAGGAGGGACTGGATCTACGGATGGTTATCTTCAAATGTCTCTCAACTGGAAAAGATCGAGGTGCAAAACCAGATGCTGTTTATGATCTATAATCCAGTTGTGTCTTCCCTCCTGCCTCTCTCTCCCCCCCACACACAACTTTTTGTCATGCTCATAGAGAAAATTTCTACTCAAAGGCAGGCTCAAGAAACGGTGGAAAGCCAAAAGCCTTCTTTACAGGGAACTTCCATACTCAAAAGTAGAGAAAGTTGAATTGTTAGGAATTTCCTGGTGGCTGAGTTGCATTTCAGTTTGTTTCTTCTCTCGAGTCCTGAGGCTTATACATTCTGCTATTGATGAACTGTGATACAAATGAATAAATGTAACAATAAAAGCTTAATGCTTCTGGTGTTCATACTGCAACACAGGAAACTAATGGTGCCTTGGCAGTCCTGATTCTGGAAGTTAGTTATGGTGAAAGAATGTATTCAAGTCCAAACTGACATTATAAGGTATTTGGAGTCTGCTGAAGTTGAGTCAAGGAGTATTGAAACATGCAAAAAGTAGAAAAATTAAACGCTGCATTCATCTTCTAGCCCTCCTGGAATTATTGTGATATGCTTCTCCAAATTCCTTGGGAATATGAGGCCTTTAGGTTTGAAACTTAAATCACAGACCACCTTTAAGATTGCCTTGCACCCTGAACGTGCCTTTTGCTAGTTTAGTTGCTAATTCTCTAGAGGTAGCCAGTAGGAAACATATCTTTAAGAGTATGTGTAGAAACATATTTTTTCAGCCAGACCCTAGAACAACATGATGAAAACTCCCAAATAAAGAAAATAGAAATTCAGGTTTGCAAAACTAAGCAAGAAAGTTCAATTTTTGTAAGACTTCGCTTTTTTTTCAAGAAACAGATGACATTTCTTCCTACTTTAAGCAATGACTTGATGGCATAGCATGTTACATTTTTGTTGCTGCTCATATTAGTATTCTTAAAGCATGTGAAGGATTAATGTGAAAAATAAAAAAGATGTAAGTTGCAGATTTCCCTGTAGTAGCTCTCACCAGCATAGAAGTAAAATTACTTTAATCACGTCAGCGTTTTCCTTTTATGATCTAGCTATACAAATATTTTTAGTAAATGGTGTCTCCAAAATAAGGCCATATGTAAATCCCACTCTGCCTTATTTCTGAAGCAATAGTCTGGTCTATTTTGACGCTCAACAGCCATTAAAAGTTGTTAGATTGTGTCTGAGAAATGTCAGTATCAACATATTTTACAGTTACAGACCAATACTAGTTTATGTAGTAGAAAGTAAATTACACAGTAATGCTTTCAGTCAGAAAATAATTTGTATGTGCATTGTAGCATCTGAAGCTAGTTGTAAAGCAAGGCTAACTTGGATCTCTACACATGCTTCATGGCATGCCTTGTAAGAAGTCCTTTTTAATTAGAAGTCAGTTTTGAAAGAAGCAAATCTGAACTTATAAAATTCATCACTGTTAAGAGACTTTCTACTAAATGGTGAGAGCACGATACAATGTAAGGAGATAATAAATATATTCTGTTCTATTTTACATGAAGGCATGGTAGAACTCGTTCCTGCTTCAGAAACTCTTAGGAAAATTCAAGTGGAATATGGAGTGACGGGTTCTTTTAAAGACAAACCTCTGGCAGAATGGTTGCGGAAATATAATCCTACCGAGGAAGAATATGAAAAGGTAACTTTTTCAGTGTTCTTTTGAAGATCTTTTAAAAGGGATGTATGAATGCTGTTTTCCCATTAATACTTGTTCTCAAGTGACTTTTTTTTCCTCTCTCCTTCCCAGGCTTCAGAAAACTTCATTTATTCTTGTGCAGGATGCTGTGTAGCTACTTATGTGTTGGGAATTTGTGACCGCCACAATGATAACATAATGCTTCGAAACACAGGGCATATGTTTCACATCGACTTCGGAAAATTTTTGGGTCACGCACAAATGTTTGGTAGCTTTAAAAGGTATTTTCTGTGGCTAAGCAATGTAGAGAATGAAGTGATTTTTTAATAGTATATTTTTATAGGCTTTATAAGCATTAACATTTAAATTCCTGATGAGTGATGTTCTCAGTTAGAAGCCAATATCTTCCACTTTAACCCCTAAGTTTCCAGAATGCATTCAAACTTGCTTGTATAGAATGAATTCTGTGAAGTCTTCAGCTTTTTATTTCCATGTTCTACCTCTGGAACTGTTTTAAGCCGAAGCATATAGGTGTATCTTTCAAATAAAATGCTTATTACGTAAATTTTATCAATGAATGAATAATGGAGTGCCAGAAATGTTACATAATCCAAATACCTCTGAGTGTGGAACAAATGAAAACAGACCCTGGCTTCTAAAACAGTAGCAAATGCCAACATTAGAGACAAGAGCGAGCAGCAAGTTTGTCTTTACTACTTCTCTGCATAGGGGAAGATGATTTATATCATCAGTTCAGGTGACAGTATATTCATTGCGTTTTTATCAGTGTGTTATGGTTTCTAGAAATGAGGGACAAAGGGCACTGAAAGGTAACCTGGCTTCCAAGTATTGCTCTGGGCAATCTGTCAGTCCGGTACCGTGTTAATGTGCTGGGAATCAAAGGTGGCAGTAAGCAGCTGATTCCCAAACTAGAAGAGTAATGTGGTATTAATGGATTATTTGATACCCAATACCTGGGGGTGGAGGGAAGCAGGAGACAAAGTGAATGGACCTTATAATCAACATGGAAATTCTGTGCTTTTTGGACAGGGATCGGGCTCCTTTTGTGCTAACGTCAGATATGGCTTATGTCATTAACGGTGGTGAAAAACCGACTATTCGCTTCCAGTTGTTTGTGGATCTCTGTTGTCAAGCTTACAATTCGATAAGGAAACATGCAAACCTCTTCCTTAACCTACTTTCCCTGGTAAGCACTGTATCAAATTCAGTTGAAACGTGATAGATCTATAATGTTGGCTCATATTACATTCTAAGCTTTTCATGGTGCCAGAACTCTTGCACGTCTTTAGAAACCAGAAATATCAGATGTACTTCTTGGGCAGGTTTTATGTGGTGAATTTCTTTAGGCTCCTTTTTAATTACTTACCTATTTCCTGAGAATTTAAAACTTAAGAAATACCATAAATTACACTGCAAAGCTCTGCTAGGTGCTTTTAACTTAGCAGAGGTAAGACAAGGGAGTAAATGCTGATTGGAAGCGATTGTTTGGCTATATCTGTTAGCATTTAGCAATTTATTGCAGCTTCACTGAAGTTTGAAGGTCTAAGAGTTTTAATTATTTCCACGTTAAATTGTTTACTATATTAAAACTGCAAATGGAATTTCCTACAGATGCTTTCTTCTGGATTACCAGAACTAAGTAGTATTCAGGACTTGAAGTATGTCCAGGATGCTCTCCAGCCCCAAACAACAGATGCAGAAGCCACCATTTTCTTTACAAGGTACTGGATAAGTGAAAGAACTGAAATAACCACCAGCATCATCCTTCTGATGGGAGCTTCCTGCTCTGGTGAAAATTTATTGAGGATGTTCACAAGCATGTCTGTAGAAGTTGAGTTAGTTGCATCGTACAATCGCAGGATGCCAATCAGTGGACCAGTGAACTGCATAAATAAGACCAGTTTCATACCTGATTAATGCTTGTGCTAAAATACTTGGCATTTATGAGTAACCTCGTGCAAAAGAATGGTTTGGAAGAGTGAGAGCAAGCAATTCTGTTCTGCTGCTTGAGACTTGCATTTTGAACACATCCAAGTTCCTTAATAGCAGCGTGTGTGTTGGGATCCTTGAAATGCGTGCAGTGTAAAGAAGCTTTCCAAAAAGTGCTTCTGTGTGCTGGGGAGGGAAGGATGACACTGCAATATAGCAAGTGGGTGCGTGCATGTAGTATAACTGAGTTGTTGTTTTGTGTTACAAAATGTGTTATTGGAATGTGTTTTAAATACATGGGGGGGAGAGGGGAACAGACTGCAGTAGTATGCACATATTTTTTGTATTTTTTAGCTCATCGGTCAATTTGAATTTAAAAACTGTTTCCCTGTCATTAAGAACTTGCTTTTTTATTTTTCTTAAATACTTAAAATTTGTCTGATTCATTGACAGATCAATTTTGGTGTGTTCTGACATGCGCTTGAGTGTTTGAAGTTGTTTTTTTGTTCTGTAGGTTGATTGAATCCAGTCTAGGAAGCGTTGCCACAAAGTTTAACTTTTTCATTCACAACCTGGCTCAGCTGCGTTTCTCAGGCCTGCCATCCAATGATGAACCCATCCTCTCGTTTTCTGCGAAGACATACTCTCTGAAACAAGACGGCCGGATCAAACACGTGTCTGTGTTTACGTACCAGAAGAGGTATAATCCAGATAAACATTATGTAAGTATGTAGAATCCCTATGTAGAACATAAAGTTAACTTTCCTTTCTTCATGGGAGCCCATCTGGTGCTGTTTTGGATTTATGGCCCTTGGTTTGGCTGTTGCTGAACAGCACTTGCCCAGTGTCAAGGCTTTCTCTTTTTGACCCCATCCCTGCAGCTGCCTCCTGCAGGGAGTGGGCGAGGAGCTGGGAGGGGACACAGCAGCTGCCTGGAGCTGACCAGAGATGTTCCATACCCTGGAATATCATGCTTAGCTTAAAAAATAAAAGGGGAGAAGAGGGGCTGGGGGGTGGGAGAAGAAGTGGGTGGGAAATCATCTTCCAAGGAGGCTGTTGCTTGGAGACTGACTGGTTGTGGGTCTGCATATGGGAGGTGGTGCGAAACAGCATTTGCATCACCTCCTGCCTTTCCACCCCGAGGACTGTCTTTTTGTCTCAACCCGTGAGTCTTCGTACTTCGCTTTTATTCTCTCCCCTGTTCCCACAGTTGGAGTGTGGGAGTCAGCAAGCAGCGGTGTGACTGCTTAGCTGCTGGCCAGGCTAAACCCACAGCTTGGTTGCTAGAGTAGAGATGGGTATTTTTGACATCAAAGAATATTCTTCAAAATGAAGGCACGCCTTGAAAAAAGCATAAAGGGCAGAAGTAACAGCAAACAATACAATTCAGGATTTTGATAGACCTGGGTTACACTTTAAGACTTTTATTGGTAATCATACCCCTATGGAGATGTGCAACAATGTTGTTTCCTTCCTTATTATCATTATTTCACTATGGCTGTTCACTGGCCTAGACTAGTTTAGCCCAAATTACTTTTTCCTCAAATTGATTTTAAAAGTGCTATGCTAATATGGTTACCTGTATCTGTTTCCAAGTTGCCATTCCAAGCTGTGAATGACTTAATCTCCTAGACACCACCTAGGTAAGTTAGAGTAAAGATAAATAATTCAGAGATGAAGAAAAGCTTTGCAGTGAATCACTGTATTACAAATGCATATGAATACTCCTGATCTAAGCCAAGGTAGCCTTTTATTTTCCAGGAAATTGCTAAGGTGATGTAATCTGCTTCTGTTAAAAACAAACAAACAAAAAAACTCCTTTGAATTGGAGGCAGAAGTCATTAGGTTCCTCCATAGTCTGTACCTGTAAATTTTCACAGTAGTTCTGGCTGCATAGGTATATGGCTAGATAAAACCTTGCACTGATCTATTAAAAGATTCGTTCACCTGCTGTACGGTATGAACTTGGAATGAGGCTTCAAAGGGAGAATGCTGACAGCTGAGCTTTAACTACTTTTATCCCACTGTCAGATGTGGACCTACGTTATGGGAAAATCACGCGATGTTACTTTGCCTTAGAGTAGGGCTATTAATGATTCTAACTTAAAAATTCAAACAGTGTTACTGAGAAATGTGTGCAGGAGAAAGATGACCATAGTTGGAGGAGTTAATTGTTAAAATACAATCACACAAAGTCAGTTCTGTAACATTACTCCTACTGTCTCTTTTTTTCTGTGTTTCTGACAGATATATGTAGTGAGAGTTTTGAGAGAAGGGCAAGCTGAGCCAACGTTTGTTTTCCGAACGTTTGATGAGTTCCAGGAGCTCCACAACAAACTTGGCATTCTCTTTCCTCTCTGGAAGTTACCAGGGTATGTTCCTCACTCACTCATCGCTGTTAGAATGAGCAAAATATAATGCACTGTTTAATATAATACAATGCAGCAAAAAATGATTCCAACTGGGTGGAGGTAAAGATCGCTTCTCAGCAGTTTTGCCTCCGTTTCAAGCTAAGTAGACCTCAGAGATGGCAATTAAGGGAGAAAATTGTCATCTTGAAGTTTTACGGAGGAGAGCCAGAGGACCAACACGGTATCTGTAGTTTGTGATGTATCATTTGTAACAGTTACCTATAAATGTTTCTTTGCCTTTTTAAAACATCATTACCTATAAGCATGCTATGCTTCCACTCACTGTAAAAAGGGATGTTAATGCTTCAGGATGGAAACTGCAATGACATTTTTACTGTACTAACCTTTATGTTGTTCTTCCCGTACAGCTTTCCTAACAAGATGGTCCTGGGAAGAACACACATAAAAGATGTAGCTGCTAAAAGAAAAGTCGAGCTCAACAGCTACATCCAGAGTCTGATGAACAGTTCTTCAGAGGTGTCAGAAGTGAGTTCAAGTAACTTGAGCAAATCCAATGAAAGCTTTCAAATTTTAGTGCTCATTACCATTTAATCTAATATGTAACATTTCTTCCAAATCTAGTGTGATCTTGTCTATACGTTTTTCCATCCACTGCTTCGTGATGACAAAGTGGAAGGAATAGACGGAATCGCCAGATCTACAGGTAGGTACTATTTTCAGGGCAGGAGTTGTGATATTTATAAATTGGGTGATGGTAGTATGACACCTTTTTCATGTGGTTTATAAGGAATCTTTTATAATTAACTGCAGTTTTGTCCTCCTTGAGAATTTTGTAGAGTTTTCCTTCTTTACAGACGTGCTTGCGTACAGTTTCTAGGAAATGAGAAAGCATACCAAAAATTGCAACAGTATGTGTCATCACTTAGGCTTGCTTGTGGCTTGAATAAATTATTCAAGTTCTTACTCTAAACTTCCAGGTTGGTTCTTACTAGAGAATGCAAAAATCTTTTAAATAATTGGTAAATAATTAGTGTAAATAATTCATGTAGTACTGATGATGATATGCAAATATTACAAAGGGAATAATTATATTTTTTTTCAGATGCAAGTCCATCAAGTCCTACCTCAGGCAAAGTGGGAGGAGAAGTGAAGCTATCCATATCATACAGAAACAGCACTCTGTTCATCATGGTCATGCACATTAAAGATCTGGTAAGTAAGAGGAGATCAGCTCCCTGCCAAAAACTATTCTATTTATTTTTTGTCAGTTACCTTCTTGAATTGGATTGATGTAGAGATGATGGAAGTGTATCTCTTCCTACAAATTCTCCAACTGCTAACCTAAATCAGCTGCTGGTTTTGGCTAGGTTGATGGCTAAGACTAGCAATTTGAAAGTAATCAAATGGGCACGCACTACTTAGTTTTCTAACTTGACTTGGTTTTGGATTGTAGGTTACAGAAGATGGTGCAGATCCAAATCCCTATGTAAAAACTTACTTATTGCCAGACACGCACAAAACATCCAAACGCAAAACCAAAATTTCCCGGAAGACGAGAAATCCAACTTTCAACGAAATGGCAAGTTAAGATTTATGTAACATCTCCCTGTAGTTACAGTCTTCTATTCTAAGCAGTAATTAAAATACTGTCTAAATAAATTTGTGAAGATACATAAATTTGAAAGGAACTTGTTTCAAAAACTTCACCCTGTTTAAAAAATAAAATAAATCAGAATAGGTAAATGTACTGTTAAAAATGAAGTTTCTGACTCTGACTTTGAGGAGTGATGGAGAGAAGTAAAGGAATCTTAAACATTGTCTCCCACCCCTGATTCATTGATTCAGGATGAGGAAAAGAATCAGGTCAGAACTTCTGGCATGTAAAAAGTACTTGCATCTGAAAACGCTGGTCCTCTTAAACGCTTCAGAGCACAAAATAGAATATGTGTGTGCTTCAGCCTAGTCTCTGAGAAACAGACGTACTGCATGGTCATAATGTGCAGTTAAAATGTCAGTGGCTAGGCAGTCAGAAAAAAGGGAGTAATCAGTGTAATTTCATTTGGATAACCAAAACATTCTTGACTTCTTACCCTCTAGCTTGTGTACAGTGGATATAGCATGGAGACTCTGAAACAGAGAGAACTTCAGTTAAGTGTGCTCAGCGCGGAATCATTACGAGAGAACTTCTTCCTGGGTGGAATTACACTCTCTCTAAAGGACTTCAACTTGAGCAAGGAGACTGTTAACTGGTATCGACTAACTGCTGTACCCTATCTATGAACTTTTTCCAGCACCTGAGTAAGAACAGAACAGATGTATTCACTTGTGCTTTGTGCATCTTCCTACTTGAAAACGACTTGTACATCTTAAAACAAGAAACTCTGCATTTCAACAGACATGTTGGACCAACCTTCATGAAGCCTAATTTGAAGGATTTCTAGAAATCCATTGCTGGAATATTCTTATGCAATGTTATCAAAGCATTATTACAAGTCTTTCTTAAGAGCTGCAGGTAAAGGAAGGTGTTTTTAAACCATCCACAACAGTAAGATGAACAGTTTGACCATGCCGGCTGGTTAAACCATAACTTAATCGATAGGCTTGGGGATATAATGCATTTTTGCTTTATAATTTTTTTTGTAATCCGTTTTATGTCATTCATGGCATAATGCTGGAGGATATCAAAGAAACTATGTACGTTTAGGATTACACTCATGCTATTAACTAAACATCACAGAAGCAGTGACGGGTAAAATTTCTGTGGCTTCACACATGCCTGTAGAAATTAAGGTTGAAGGGCTGGAAAAATTCTTTAGCAATGCATTTATTTCCAGATGCATGCTTCTCAAAGATTTATTGGAGCGAGTGCCAATAATGGAAGTTGTAAATAATGGTGCCTTATAATTCAAATGCTTCTCTTTTACCTCATTCCTGGTATTTAAATATGTATACACGTTAACTTTCTGCTCCTTAAAGAGGGGTGACGTTCTCATATTTGATAACTTGCAGATTCTAGTAGAAGTCTTTTCCTGAGATGTGTTAATTACAGATAAAATCACTTATACTGATCTTCATAATTAGTGCCACCTAAAATGTTGTACCCCGTCTTCTAGCCATGATCTCCAAAGCCAGTGAAGACTGGCAGAAGATGATGCTGTAGGAAATGCATCCAGCTTCTCAGTGTTTTACAACACTGCAAAATTTCTAGAACTTCAATACAGCAGTGGTTAAACGTATAACAGATTCGGACACGAAATCCAAGTGGCACTTGCACCTACGTTACCCGTACCTCCATGTAAATGATGGCCTCTAGGTAAAAAGCACAATGGATGGATATTTGCAGGCCAGAAATAAGCGGCATTAACAGAACTTCTTGAGAGGAATTTGGTTGCACTTTTTTTCTCTTTCCATTTGACGGCAACAGTGATTCTCATCCCTGGTAAGAATTCCACTAAAAATATATATATATGTATAATTTCAAGCAGCCTTAGATCTGAAATATACTGTGATAGCAGAGTATAAATACGACTTACTGTCTCCTGTTAATACCACTGGTTACTTAATTAGGTAGTTTCTGCACTACAGCTATAGGGTTCTTGCTCACCTTACTTGGTGTTTAGGGTGATTGTTCTGTCTAGACAAAGCGATAGAGTAAAGTTGCACACTTTAATGGTAAATGTTGAAGCGTGTTTGAGAAAGGGTGACGGGCTCTCAGCGCTGAGTAGGACTGGAAATAAAACTTACGATGATGAATGAAGACTCGATGCAGGACACAGGACACTAAAAAGCTTGTTCAGAATCGGATTTTACTCCCCTGCTACTGACCAATCTCCCTCCAGTACAGAAGCAAGAAGTAAACTTGAATCTCTTGGTGCCTAAAATAGTCATGGTCCAATCTCTTAGGAGTTATTACAATTAAGAAACTAAGAATATCTTGAATGTTAGAAACTGGGTTGATGCTAATGGACACTAACACCTCCCAACTCCCAGTTTTATTAAGTATCTTCTGCGTATCCTTCATTTAGTACATAGCCTGTAAATAGTATTCTGTGTAACTGACTAGGTATATTATTTCCTGCTCACTTGATGCTTTTGAGACTTACTCCATTCCATCACTAGAATCACGAGTCACTTAAAAAAAAAAAACACAGGAAAGTAGACTACTGTTTTTGTGAAACGTTCCCTTGTGAAATACGCCGACAGCAATACGTACTGCCTTTTTCGCAGTGGGCTCCCGAGGAGGAAAAAAAAAGAAAAAAAAGAAAAAAAAAAAAAAGCACAGCGTCTTAACAGCACAAAACACGAATAAACCGTAATTTTAAAACGCTTTATTTTATCGTCGTGTGCTCTCTGGGGGAGGAGCGGGATGGGGGGGGGCTGAGGCTGAGGCGGGCGCTGAGGCGGCTTCCGGCGGCCATCGGGCGGGAAGCGCCGCCCCCCCGCGCCGCTCCCTTCTCTTCCGCCGCCGCCATCATGGGTCGCATGCACGCTCCCGGGTGCGGGGCCGGGGTGGCGCTGAGGGGGGACACGGAGGGGCCGTGAGGGGACCGGGGGGGACGGGGAGGGCCGGTGGGGGGCTGCCGGGCGGCGCTGAGCCTGTGCTGTGCTTCCTCCCGCAGGAAGGGCCTGTCCCAGTCGGCGCTGCCCTACCGCCGCAGCGTGCCCACGGTAAGGAGCCCGCGGCTGAGGCGAGGTGGAGGGGTGGGGAGCCCGCCTGACTGATTTCGCTTGAAATTCAGGCTTATTAGCGCGCTGAACTAAAGCAGCGTGGACTTAACTCGCCTCGTTTTGCGAGACGGGGGTGGGGGACGGAAGGATCGGTCTGTGGGGTGTGGAGGGAGCCATGCGCTGAAAAAATAGCTCAAAATAGCTCGTCAGAAGCGCGAGGCTAGAGCACAGGGAGATAACCGAAAATAAAACATTGTGAAACTGCCTGAAGCAACATCAAGTTGCTTTTCAAGCGTTTGGGTAACGATTGGGATGCTCAGATGCTGTGTTGGCGAGGAACCCTGTGGGTTTTACTTGTTTTCTGAACTGTAATCAACAGCGTTTCCAAATCCATCTTTCCACCGTTTCTATTTTATAACTTCACGATGTTAAAAAGGAAGGGGGGTGGAAGAAAAACTCCTGGGAGCTGTTGCAGCTTGTGGAAGGAGCCGGGATTGCCGAGCTCATTGCTGTTTTTCCTCTAATAACCAGAGAGCAGTGGCTCCATTAGCACAATTTAATGCATAAAAGAATAGAAAAGACAGAGTTTTATCTGGGTAGAGATCAAGTTCTTTCATGTTCAATTAATTTGTGTACCTCGAGTCTGACTTCCACTGATCTCTGTAGGTAGCACAGCAGGGAATGGATGGCTGAAGGGTCCTCAGCTTTGCCTTTCTGCCCAAGGCCCAGTTAAAGAGTTCCTTCTTTAACATGCAGCGATTTTCTCTATAAATTTGTATTTATGGGTCAAATCTGGCAGCTAATGATAAATGCTGTTTGGAGGCAGCATGGGGTATTTTAAACAGTCTTCCTTTGTTCACCTCTGTCTTCCTCCACCATTTTGGCTAGCACTATGGACTCACAGAATCTAAATAAAGTTTCTGTGTCATTAAAAGTGTAATTTCTCAGCTGTTTTCTCAAACATTACAAAACGGTTATTTCCATCACATATCATAGGCGTTCATAGAAAGTCTGTGCCTCTGTGCTAATCAGCGTTCATCAGTTGTTGTTCGTTTTTTTCCTAATTTTCTTTAGTGGCTGAAACTTACTTCTGATGACGTGAAGGAGCAGATCTACAAGCTTGCAAAGAAAGGCCTGACTCCCTCACAAATTGGTAAGGTTCATGAATAGCAGCTAAATGTAGGCAAAACACATCTTTCTGACCGTGAAAATGTACTAATTACCTCAACGTGGGTTAAATGTATTAAGAAAACACAGGTTTTCTTTGGTGTGTATGTATTCACTGTGCGGATACCTCTGGAAGTATGCAGCGTGTCTCTTTCTTGGAAGAAGCATATTTGATGAAGCAGCTATTTTTTCAGTCAGAAACTGTGAGGGATCTTTTTAATTTTAGAACCTCTTTAAAAATATTGGTGTGTGCTGTTGGGAAGCTTAGTTTCTTCAGTTTACCAGTTTCTATTTTGACTTTACTGTTAACTCTTAGCTTAGAGCTCCTGAGCAGAGCGTTCTAATAGAACACGCTTCCTGGCCTCCAGAGGTTTAATTCCAAAGTAGTCCCTGAAATCTTTGTTAACCCCAGAGCAAAGGGTGTTAGCATACCTTGCTTTTACAAGTTCTGCTGAAGATCTCCGTGCAGTATTGTAGCACTTACTGTATTACCTGCCTGTGTGTGATGTGTGGATCAATTGCCTGTTACGTGCTCTCTGATAGCATTTCAGTTTCTGTGAGTAGTATTTTGCTCACTCTCTGTCTACTGCTGTTCATGGTTTCTACCAGAAAGGTTTAACCGATATTTAGAGAGAATGTTTTTTTGGATGTCTGGTGAAATGGACCTTAAAGTAATAACATCCATTTGGGTAAAGTTTTTCTCTTCAGTGCAGTATGTAAATGTTTGTTTCAGGTGTGATCCTGAGGGATTCTCACGGTGTTGCCCAGGTTCGCTTTGTTACTGGCAACAAAATTTTGAGAATCCTTAAATCAAAGGGACTGGCCCCAGACCTCCCAGAGGATCTTTATCACTTGATCAAGAAAGCTGTTGCTGTTCGCAAGCATCTTGAGAGAAACAGAAAGGTGAGTGCTAATCAAAATAGGAACTCCACTTGTGTTTTTTTTTGTTTTGTTTTGTTTTTTTTTTTTTCAAATAATACAGGAGTTCCCTTATCGCTTCTTAGAACAGATTCTAAAACTTTATGCAACCCCGATCCCAGGCACCTGGGGAGAACCCCTCCGCTGTCCTATGCCTTGGTTTGGATCACTTTCAACTCTCACATTTTCTGATTTTTCAGTATCACGTTAAGCAGGGGTTTACGAATTTACCACACGTGATTTTATTTTCTAGGATAAAGATGCCAAGTTCCGCCTGATTCTGATTGAAAGCAGAATCCATCGTCTGGCTCGCTACTACAAGACGAAGAGGGTGCTGCCACCCAACTGGAAGTAGTAAGTCCTCTATTTTATGTTTCTGTTTTCACTGCAGTCTTCTAGGTCTAGTAAGCAATGTGCTGGGTCTGTTATTGAAAGGATCAAATGCTTTGTAATCTGACATACAGGTAAATCAGCCTGCAAAGAACAGGTGTTTTCATACTTAATAACTGATAAACTCATGGAACTCATTGCTGGGTAAAACAACTGCCACCACACTTGGAAAAAGAGAATTGTCTCAACAAGCGAAGCCTCTGTGTACTAGACAACTTCTCTAACACTTTACACAAAGTCCACTCTGTTCTTACTGAGATACTTTTATAATTCGTGTTGGTCTGAAAATCTGTTGAGAAATGGCTCCGTAGCTGTGGCAACAAGTGATAGTCATTTGTAGTTGTCGTTTCTCTAGGAAAAAATAGCCAACATTGCAGAATTCCTGTAGAAGCCTTAGGTAGACTTTTCTTTCTGAAGAGGCTGAAGTGCAGCTAGCCAGGTTATTGAAAATGGGGTTTAGTTCTGTTGTCCTATTTGTATTTTAAGAGGAAGGGCAAAGTCTGTCTTTATCCTATATAGAATTTTAAAAGAAGTTGTGATTAAGCTCAGGGCTGGTAGTTAAAGCTTTGAACTGAAGTAGTGGTTTTTGGCGACTGGTTTGTAATAATTGTCCCTGCAATTAATATTTCTCTCTCTCTCTCTCCCCCTCTTTTTCTCTCTTTTTAGTGAATCATCGACAGCTTCTGCCCTGGTCGCATAAGAGCTGGCTATGACTTACTGAAAGAATAAATTCCCATTGACTACGTTTGTGCTGTGTCTCTAAGTGGTTGGTGTCTTACAAAGATGGGGCAGTTTCAGGAAGCTGGAAGTAAACGGGCAGTGCTCAGACTGAAGCACAAATGTGGTGGTTTCCACGGTGCTGCCCTACATTTGTAAATCTCGGTAGTGGCTGTTGCTGGTCTGGATTCGCTGTAGAGTTTGTGACTGCTAGAACTTGATTTTGGATCTGGTAGATTCAAGTTAGACAAGTAACCTAGCCATTCACAGCAAGTGCATTTTCTTAATATGGTACCGTTCTGTGTGTGCCCTGCAGGAAGAACTGGGGAAGGAACCAAGGACAGGAGGAAAAATTGGGAACTTAAAGGTGGAGAGGAAAGAATTGGGGTGATGGAGGGAAACAAAACTGGAAGGGTAGATGGGATCATCGTAGGTTAATGTGGATCCATTCCTCTTGAAGAATGGGTGCAGAAAGCTTAAACAGATGTGAAACAGTTCCTGACAGCTGGGGGAAAGAGCGTGCCTCTGTGTGTGTGTCCATTTCAGGGCTCCTTGCCCCGTGGATGCCAGCAGGAACTCCTTTGTGGAATGCAGCTCCCTGCTCCTGGGGCTCCTGGGGCTTCCCTCTGTAGCTGCGCTTGCAAATAGTTCAGATGTTCTGGGTAACTGCTGGTGTCATTTGTAAGGGATTTTAAGAATCATCTTTGAGGTTTGGGTAAATAGAACCATTTAGCACTCCTCAGAGGTCATGGCTTTGCCGAGGCAGTTCCCCTAAACCCCAAGGGCAGTGGCTGCTCTACAGTCTTACTGGAGTTGTGCCTCCAGGTTCGAGGTAGTTGTGACCCAAGGAGTCAGCTTGCTGCTAAAATGGAGAGGACAGGCTTTTGTCTTTCATAGGAGAAAATTTTAAATGGAGGTTTTACTGAGCTGTTGTGACGGGTACTTCTTAAGTATTGGTGCACTACTTAAATTTTGCCATATATTAAAAAGCATTTAAGTAAATTTAAAATAGACATAACATTTTTTTTAGGTGTAGTAACTACTTGCTAAGTTGTAAAAAATGGTGCCCAGTGCCTTTTTGATCCAGTTTCGCAGAAAGACAGGTTTCCTGTACTCTGATCACGAAGCTAAGCTTAATCCCATAGCATTTGGGATTAAGACAGTTTTAAAAGAAGAGCACTGCACTCCAGCTGAACTCTATGAAGCACTGCTGTCTGGTCCGTCTTCAAGTTAGATTGCCAGCTTCCACGCTCTGTCAAGGTACCTGCTGTTCTTTCTGCATAACTCGAAATTGGTGAGCTGGAGAAGATCTCTCTGTTTGCAGCTGATATGGCAATACGGGTCAATCTTTTCCTTGCTGTTCATTAGTGGTAACGGCCAGCATTTAAAAAAAGTCCGTAAGCTTTCAGTCAGGTGTTTACAAG